TTCAATTTCAAATTAATATAAACAAACGGAAGTCAAATTATCTATTATGTACTATGGTGAAAGGTTTATTTCTTTAAACAAATGATCTGTTATTAGTAATGGTTAGATGAGATATTTCAACATAAATATTTAACTTAATACTGAAAAGCAGAAAGTTTACTCAAAAATCGATCATTTATACATTCTTATTTTATTCAGTGTTGTAATTTAGCCATTTCATATTATCCGTTGTTATTAGCCTTTTCTTATAGCATTTTTGATTTTACTTCAATTTCAAATTGATATCCAATGCTTTACATGTATATAACATGGTCAAGCTTTTAAATGATTTCATTTTCTTGAAAATTTTAAAATTTTCAATGATTTCAACAATAAGCTATCCAATCAGTGATTTTTGATCAATGTGTTATTTCAATTTGTTTTATTTGCGCTAATCATTTATTCCATTTAGATAACAGTAAATCATCACAAAATCGTCTCATTTCACGTTCAGTGCATAATTTGCATTCGTTAACATCAAAGAATCGACAAAGTAATGCACAGCCACAGTGCTCAGTCGATGAAAATGGCAATCAAACGGTACAAAATGGAATTACTTTACGCAATGGCGGAAATGTGAGTTTGACTTTTTTTTCTTTTCTTTTCCGTCTTATCACAACTTTCTCACGTACTGTCACAATTTTCTCATAAATTGCTTCAATTTTCCCACATTTCAAAAAATTTCACCTCATGATTGACTGTTTTATATCAGTTAAAATCACTCAGTTGCGAATTATTTTCATTAAATTTGATAGAAATCGGGTTAACTGCTGAAAATATTGAGACTTTGATCCAATTCTCATTATTTTAAAATGATTGAATGAGAAATTCAATAAGAGCAACAATTCTAGTTCAATAAAAAAAAATTTAAAAAACAAAAATTATTGAAACGAAAACTATAAAAAATTGAAAAATTAACTTAAAAAAAGATCTATGTTAAAACAACAACTCTTAAAAAACACTAAACACCTAAAAAATTCTTAGAATTCTAATATATAACTCATCTATAAAACAATAAAAAGCAGAAATAAAGATATGTTGATTAAACATTGATTAGGCATATTAACAGCTAATTCTTTGGTGATAAAAAGGATTAGCTGTTAATATGCCTAATAATGATAGAAACACCAGACAAGCATTTAGTTTTGTGATATTCAGTTTGCAAAGATAACAAATGACTCATTTTCTTTTCTTTTTTCATATTTCGAAAAATTCGAATATTTTAGATTTGAATAGAATATAGAAATGTTATATATTCAGAGAGAATTCTGAAACATCTTTTGTTCGTTAAAAGGAACGATAGCATCATTTCTTTCTTCTTTTCTTGTTTTATTTGAAATTTTATTTTATTTCTGCATTTGCTAATCCAATCCACTCTGATAGTAAATGATAAAATAAATGTTTCGAAAATTTGTTTGCTTTTTTCTCCTTCTCCAATAAAACGAAACAACTGATGAAGAAGAAAGAAACAAAATGAATAATAGAAAGTGAATAGTTTTTCTATTCATTTTGAATAGGGAAAAAGAAACAAAATGAATAAAAGATGAAAAATGAATAAAAAATGAAAAATGAAAATGAATAATAGTTTAAGAGTTGAAAATTTTGAGCATCTTGTAGATGTCCCATTTTTATAATATTGAATTGAACTGACCAAGTTCCCTGAAGTCAGCAGTCTTGGTGATCGATTTATAATTTTTGTTTTTTAGTTTTCCAATTTAAAGAAAATTTAAAGTTACCCAAGAATTGAAGTAATACATTAGTAAAAGTGACTCCAATACTTCTTCATGGTGGCAGGAATCGTTGGATTCAATTTTCCCACAATCCTAGCATTCTCTGACCTCTCAGCTCTTGTTTTCTCAAATTTTGTTAATTTTGTTAACAAATATTTAGTTGAATGCTTCACATGCTTCACAAATTGCCAGCTTTTTAATAATTATAATTAATTCCTTTCAACAACAAAAAAAAAGCGTTGGAATGTTTTGCAGTCTTCTGTGCAAACAGCTGCGAAAGCAGGACGTTATGTACGTCGAAATGATGAGCAATTTGTTGTACAAAATCAAAAAACAAATATTAATAAAACGACAACGACAACAATACGAATGAAGAAATGGCTGAGCAGCGCTGATGTGAAGTGTAATAGAGAAGGGCGACGTAATTCACGCGATCATCTAATGAAGAATAGTAAAGCTGGGACATCACGCGATCATCTAATGAAGAATAGTAAAGCTGGGACATCAGTTAATTTATCATATTATAAATCAACAAGGTACGTACGTGTTCGTGTGTACACGCTTTCCTGCTTCACTTAATTATTTCTACGCTTTTGTTCTTTCAATAATTCTGTTACCTTCTCAAAATGAAAAAGTAGAAATTTTTTCTTCCTTTCTTTAAAAATAATTTCAACTTTAATTTATTTTATTTTAGTAAACTTGGACCGACAAGTAATTTAAGTATTTCACAGCATTCGTTACCACGTTTCGGGTTAGTTTTCTTTCGAATTTTTCTGCCGAAAAACATTCTGTGCATTAGATTTGCATAAGTTTAACGTCTATTTCGAACTAATAATGTAATAGATTAACTGATAAAAGGTCAGGATAACAAACATTACAGTTTTGAAAGCGATTTCAGAGACATTCTCACAATTTAAATTATTGTATTATTGCATACCTATGTTTAGTCTCACATAAAATGCTGAAACGCTATGAAGATGTTTTAAAGTAAAAAATGAAAATCATTTTTTAACAGTTATTGTTTCATTTTCTATTTATTTACAAGAGATAACATGCAGGATCAGAATTTTACTTCATTCCGGTTATGAAAAATATGAATGTATGATTCAATTTGTAAATAAAACGATTAATTTATTTAGATTAGAACTGCGAGAACCATCATTTCTGAGTGAGAAAGGTGTACTACAGGTATTTGTGAACGGCAAAACGATGCATCTTCCAGTACCCAATTCAATAACCGATCTTGATCTTACATATGAACTTGATGCTCCTACATGTGAACCGACACTTAATTGGGTTTACGGGTGATTTTTTCATATCATACAATTGCAGTAATGGATATTATCATTTGTTTATTTAGGTTTACCATGAAAATAAGTCTTCGCATACATTGAATAGTCACAATCTTTTGAATTTGCGCTGCTGTTTTTTCAGTTATCGCGGTAAAGATTGTCGTGGGAATCTTCATGAATTACCAACCGGTGAAATTGTTTATTTCACGGGTACAATTGCTGTACTGCATAATCCTAACGAAAGATCGCAACGATACTATACCAAACATACTAGTGATATCAAATGGTATCTATTTATCCGTCGTCTTTTTAGAATCTTGAAAATATTTCTAATTGTTTTGTAAGTACTTACACTTACAAGAAGATGCTCGACATTATACACTTACTTGTAATTATAATTTGCATAAGGTTACGTAATAGGTTACTGATGATTTACAAGCTACTCATGTTCCACCGGTTACGTGTATTCAGTAGGTTATTTATAATCAAGTAATATATTTTAGTGTATTATATAGATTAATTTTTATATGTATCAGGATTTTGTAAATTATTTAAGAATTACAAGATACACAAGTAAAATACACAGTTACTAAATCTTATTCTGAATGTGAAAGCTTCATTTTTTTTCACGAATAATAATTAATAACCGTAAAAAGATCCTTAATCCATTTGAAATTGAATTTCAGCATGGCTCTTCATCCAAATAAGCTACACATAGCTACCGGTCAAACATCGAGGCGTTTTCTGGAAAAAAGTGTAAGCCTTTAAACTGAAATGATATTGTTTAGATTTTTTTCGTCCGCTTAAAAATTTTCGTAAAAATTTGATTAAAAATGCTAGTTTTTATGATCCTTATCTTTTTATTTTTGTTTCTAACTTCGAACTTCCTGATTCAATAAAGAATTTCGGATATGATTTTATGTGATAATATTATTCCGTTTCAGCTGTTCCTACAGCAAATTTCATTTTAAACTTTATTATTGTTGCTATGTTATATGTTTGGAACTAATTCAAAATTAAATTATTAAGTTTCAGTAAGTGCAAAATAAAAATGGATTACCCGAAAAGAATTATTAGACACTCAGAAAATCAGAAAATTCAGATAAAAGAAGCAAATAGTTTGTTTCTTTTCTTCTAGGGTTTCAATATTCATCGCTTACCGATATCGTCAATTACGGAATTGAACAACATTTTAGAAACTGACCAATATAAGGTTTTTTTTTTCAATTTTTAATTTTCATCTTATTCGATTATGTAGCTTGAATTTCAAACAATGCTTTATATCATACTATTTATAAGGACAAAAGAAATAGTATATCACTAGAATATCTGGTCATTAAGTTTATACTTCTCATGATATTAATGCATCAATTGCATCCGTCACCGATATCGAGATAACTTCAAACTGTCATCATATAATTTAATCCAGTTGTTTACCCATCCATTGTTTAGTTTCATATTACGATGGTTAAATATGCAGGTTTATTTTCAGGAAAGATTAATGCATGAACTACGAAGTTAAATTGTGGTTAAACATTAAATTATCCAAAAATTCAGGCCCATATACATATTTGGGATTCCGTAACGCTTCAAACGTTACGTACAATTGGAACAGGTGATGCAAGTGCTAATTTTGACCGAGGTATTCAATGTTGCGCATTTAGTCATGCCACAACGGATGGCATGCAACTTGCAGTTATTGATGATTCTTACGAACATATACTTAGTATTTGGGAGTGGCAAAAGGGGAAAAAGATTGCAGAAATTAAGGTAAGCTTTCAAGCTTTTTTTTTCCTCATTAAATTAAATATATTTATGCTTTTCTACTGAATTGCACTTCAATTAATGATAGCCTATTGAAATTAGCATGTATTATTCATACAATTTTAAAAAATTTTTCCATTCATCATATCAAATTCCTACAATTATTAGAGGATGGATTGATGCTGCTTAAGAAATAACTATAAATTAATAAATGATAATAACCCATGTTGGGAGCAATTCTAGATAAGATTTAGTTTCAGCTTTTCAATTTTATTTGGTAAAAATATTATTATTCAAAAATATAAGGTAGTTATTAATTCAAATAGTTTTTTCTTTTCTTTTTTTGAAGTGCTGATTTAAAATTTCCGAATTGAAGACAAATTAAAGAAAAGAAAAGAAAAATCTGTCTTGGTGAAGAAATGATTATGCATATTTCGGGATTTTTCTTTCACTCTTTTCTTTTGAGTGAATCGCAAGCGTTAGCATAAATTTGCTTTTACAGAGTGCTAATGACCAAGTGTTTGCATGTGAATTCCATCCATATTCCAAAAATGTCCTTATGTCATACGGCAAGGGTCATTGCAATGTTTGGGTCATCAATGGAGCAACACTTATTAAAAAACCTATTACATTCGAGGTATTGTCAGTAAATTGATATTTAGATAGAAAAACAAGTTCTAATCTGAAAGAAAGAGAGATTTACCTTTTTCTTTTCGTAGGATACAGCATTTATTAACACCATTGTAAGTAATGCAAATCATAGCTGTGAAGGAAAATTCAATCTAACATAAAATACGTAAAATCATTTAATCGTAAATCATTTGATCAATTAATTGCATGAAAGGTGAGAAGTGAAGTTTCACAGTGAAGTTTTAATAACCAAAATTTTCAAATTCTTAATACAAATTAATAAGTAATCGATTATAAATGTCATACTCAATAGTTTTAGGTGAGCGAAAAGATAAAATTATCATTTGTGAACTTTTGAAAGTTTCTTGATGTTTTGATTTATTTAACGAAGTTTCTTGCTTAATAAAGGTATATAATTTCGCATTGGTAGCCATATGCTTCTAAAATCGCTACTGGAAATTTGTTATTTATGTTAGTTTAGGGTCGTAATAAACCAAAGCTAGTGCTTTCTTCACATTTCACCGAACGTGGGCACATCATAACAGGTGATTCCAATGGCACACTAACAATTTGGGATACATATCAGGTTAAACCGATTCAACAAGTACCAAAGGTTGCTTATTTTCAATTATGGATAATTCTGATCTAAAGTATATTTTTTTAGCGCTATGAAAGGGAGGGATTCCTGATAAATTAGATATTTCCCAATGATCAGAATATATAACGAGAAATTATTTGATAAGCGAATGGAATCAGATAAAGCCGTTGTAATAGCAATATAATTATTAGATAAAATTTTATACTCGAGTGTATTAAGCTATGTATTAATTGTTTGTTAAACTATATTTAATTGTGATCAAACTATTTCACTTACATTTAATAAAATAACCTTACTAGTTCCTATTGAAAAATGAATGAGGATATCCGCGATTATTTTTCAATTTAAGGCTCATAATGGCGGAGTTTGGGCATTATGCTTACTTGGTAACGGCCATTTCATTTCGGCTGGTAAAGATCGAATATTATTTGAATGGGAAACCGATGGTTTGACAAAGATTCGTGGCCCAATAATTGTGAGTATAATGCAAAAAACATTTTTAGAAGTGGAAGTAGGAAGTGAGGCGTAGAACTTGAGTAATTTGTTACTGAATGACATGCCTTACATAGACCATAAATAGAACCACGTTCTATTCATTCTTTGTAAGACGTTGTGAAATGTTACTAAAATATGT